ACACACACACACACACACACACACACACACACACACACACACACGTCCTATGATGAACTTCTGCCTCCAAACAGAAAAACAGAATCTCCAAGCTTTTTTTCCAAAGAGTGTTAATTGAGAAATTTATTAACTAGGGGAAGGGAGAATGGCCGACTGCTTCCCACCAGAATCATCTGGTGGTCTTGGGCTCCCTTGTTGCTGAGAGCCAGCAAGACAGCACCTTCTTCTAACTGACTTTGGATGGACGTCTGGCGGGAGTGGGTGGGCAGTGGAAGCTGCCGTTCTTGCGGGGTGGGGTCGGTGGCCTTCGCCCAGGCATAGGCTGTGCCCTTCGCGGAATGGTCTTGCCAAGCATCTTCTCTTTTCTGTCTCCCAGTATGTGAATGGCGGATGCTTAGAAGAACTCTTGTCTTGCAAAGATGTCTCTCTCAGCTGTAAGGAGAAAGTGGAGCTTGCTTCGGACATCACCCGAGGGATGGTCTACCTGCACTCCAAGAACATCTACCACCGGGACCTCAACTCCAAAGTAGGCCAGAGGGATTCTCCACAGAAAGCAGCAGTCTGTCTCTGTTAAGCCATCAGGGAGCGGTGGGAGCGGTGGGAACAAGGGAGGGATGTTTTCCAGCTGATTAGCTTCACAGAGGAATCTGGTTGGCCCTGTAGGTAGCAGGATGCCAGACAAGAAGATCCAGCAGGGTTTCCCTGACGTCCTTCATAGCCCAGATAGAACCTCTGTGGCCAGTGGCAGTTTATCTCAAATCTACCAGGGGCACACAAGTGGGGAGGGATTTTTATTCAGTTGTCACATTTATATCCTGCCTTTCCTATGGTGACTTCCACAGGCCTCTTTTCCTCCATGCCGTTTCCCCACAACACCCTTGTGAGCTAGGCCTTTGATCCAGCAAAGCTGTTACTCCTCAAAGAAGCTGTGCAAAATCAATGCACGTGGAAGGTTTCCCTGGGGGGGGGGCGCGTGGGTTTATCGTCCAAACTCCAGCAGCCCGGCTTATCACGGGAGATGTTTCTTCCGGAGAGTGTCGTTTACTCCACTAGCTTCCCGAAGGCAGAGCTCATGAACTGAACGGCAGGGTCGTCATTGTGCCAAGCCACTTAGAGGAGAAGCAGATGCTCGTTAACGCTTGTTAGCACTTAATGGGATTTTTGGCCTGTGGATTTTGTCTCTCTCTGTCTTTCGGGAAGTCTCTTAATATGGGATCTCAAGGATCACAAGCAGGAAACAAGTGGGCCAATCACAAGAAACAGCACCCTAATTTACTTACAAAACGCGCTGTCCTGAGTTCTGTTTGCCTGGGTGCTTTGAAAAGGGGGTGGGGTGGGGGAATTAGGCAGACACCATGCATTGCCTGGAAACATTAGATTTTTACTACAACGCCTAGAATCCTACCATGGGAATTCAGGAAGCTCACACATCCATGTATAAAAATGTGTCTTCAACGGCATTTCAGAACTGCCTCATTCGAGTGACCCCACGAGGACGAGAGGCTGTGGTGACAGACTTTGGCTTGGCCAAAGAAGTGACAGAGCCATCAACCAAAGATCCAGAGAGGAAGCTTTCTCTGGTGGGCTCGGCCTTCTGGATGGCTCCCGAGATGTTACGAGGGGAACCCTACGACCGGAAGGTACGGCCTGTCCTTCTCCTAAGAGCCTTCTGATGCAAAGTCCTTGCTGGTCCTTTTTACCCGAGTTAAACTTGGCTCACTGCAAAATGTATAAAATTTGACAATTTTTCTGCACATCCCAGTGTGACTCAAGTCAGAATCCCCCCCCCCCCGCTAAAACTGCAAGCTTGAATCCATTTAAATGGTAAAAAGAATGGCTGGAAAAGTTGCTTCTTGAAAGTAATTTTTTCCCATTACTTACTACAGTGTTCAAAAGTAATCCGTTGCCACCATTTAGTTCCAGTTTTTAACTGTGCCCCACGAGTAACTCACCCAATTGGTCACTGTGTTTTGTTACTTCTGTTTCTTTAAAATATTCTTAAGATCAGCAAGAAAATGGCATATACAGTAACTTCAGAAGCTCCCATCGCAGTCCACTAAGAATGCCTTCAAAACTAACTTTAGTTAAAAGTAATTATGATTAATTACTTGTAGCAGTAATGCAGATTTGTTCCACGTATTATGTGGAACTAAAGGATTAAAGTTACTTCAAATCTGGAAAAACCCCACTGCTGATTTTTTTAAAAAACACCCACACCCATATTTTTGCTTATGCAAAATATGTTGATTGCTGTATTTTTTTAAGGGGGAAGGGCAACTGAAAAATTTGGCTTCCATTTCTTGAACGCTGCTGGATCTCAGTTCTGTTTTTCAGCGAACATGGTGTCTTTCCAGTCAACAGGTGCAGACCAAGGAGGGTGTTGGGGTATCAGGTTTCCCAGCTTCCATTCCTTGTGCTGCTTTGTGTTTTTATTATGTCAGCCTGGACAACTGTTTTCTCCCTCTGCTGCTCAGTCTCGCCACCCCAGCTAATGTTTGGCTCCCTTCCCCTGCAGGTGGATGTCTTCTCCTTTGGCATCGTCTTGTGCGAGATTCTGGGGAGGATCCCGGCTGACCCTGAGGTGCTGCCCCGGACTCAGGTCACTCCAAATTCTCTTCCCCCCCCCCACTTTTGCAAGATGTTGAATGTCCAGGTTGTACAGAGCAGTTTTTTTCAAGCAACGGTAGAGAACCTCTTTCAGCGCAATGGCTGGCTGGAATTCCAGAGGCAATCTCAGGGACCACATTCCTGTTGAAGGTGGAGTCAAGGGGAAAAGAAGTGGAGTCAAGGATATCAGCATAGTTTAACTTCCTCCTCTCTCTGCTAGTCCTGAAGCCCTAGGACAGGTGTTTTGACCTTTTTGACAGAGAAAGCAGACTGTATGGAACCCCAGATACTGGTGCCATAGGAAGGTGGAGTGGCCATTTGGGGAACTCAGTGGGGTTAGGAATCAGGGTCCTAAACCCTAGGGGAGAGGGGAGTACAGGATCTGGGGCACAGAGCAACAGAGGGACATGATTTGCATGGACTCAGAATAACGCTCTGCCTTTCTGTGTCCATTTGATATTTATGTATATATTTATTTATGTATGTATTTATTTGTTTTGAACTGGGTGGAGAAGATTCATCCGTTCTGTATATCTCCACCAGGATTATGGCCTAGATGTGGTGGCCTTCCAAGACCTGATTGGTGAATGTCCTAAGCGAGTTTTGGATTTGGCCGCCAGCTGCTGCAGGGTAAGGACTCGCTCCTGCTTCTGAGCCTCTGATTAAATGGACTGGCGTTAGATTCAGGACAGACGAGGCATCGTACAAAATGCACAATTAATTTCTCAAATCTGTTGCGGTTGTATGATGGCCTTGCGGCTTCTGTCTCACGGTATGGTGCAATAGTAGAGTTGGAAGGGATCTCCAAGGGTCATCTAGTCTGACCCATTGGGGATGCAAGACAGCCAAAGCGAAAGCATCCCTAGCAGCTGACCATCCGGCCTCTGTTTGAAAACCTCCAGGGAGGGTGAATCCACCACCATTTTCTGAAGTGGTCACACAGCCCTTCCTGTCAGAAGGATCCTTCTAATGTTTAATTAGGATCGCCTTTCTTGTTGTTTGGGTTCTACCCCTGGAAAGGCAGAAATCAGGCTTGCTCCACTCATTTGTGACCTTTGTTCAGATATTAGAAATCTCCTCTTAATGCACTCAATTCCTCCAATCTGTTCCTTGGTTTCCAGACCGTTTTTCTGACTTGGTTCCAAACGCCCCCTGCTGGACACATGCCGTGTTGTCAATAGGCTCCTTGCTTAAGCCATAGTGTCCATATGTTTATTTTCTTGTATTTATTGCATTGCTATCTTGCATTTCCGCCTCGGAGCTCAAGGTGGCAACAATCATGGCTTTCTTCTCCTGTTCATTTTCCCTTCCTGCTCCAGGTGGAAGCCTTCAAGCGTCCATCATTCTCGGAGGTCCTGGAAGAACTGGAAGACACAGCAGAGCATCTAGAGTCCGCCACAGAAAACCAGTCTCCAGGTTGAAGCAACCAGTGGCCGCTGGACTGTAAATGGACTTGTGTATCTCAGAACGAAGGGGTGAGAGGTGGGGAGAAGGGCCTTCAAGAGAACGTGCCAAGGGTGCCTTTCCCTGCTCCCACACCTCCGCCAGATTTGTACCGTGGAAGATGAAACAACTTCATCCCCAGCCAGCTTCCAACCCCAGACCACTGCAAACTCTCCTAAAGGTGGAGAAAACAACATTTATCTGGCTTCAGGTTCTTACAGAGGAGGAAGCAGCAAGCACGACGGCCTGGGAGGAATGTTTCCTCTGCTTGCTGTACAAGCGCTTGCCAAGGAAATACGTTGTGATGACTCAAGCCAGTGAGCCAAGCTGGGTGCTGCACGAGAAAGATAAACCTGCCATAGTCCCTAGCCAACATGCTTTAGCAGCCTGTCTTGCTGTTTGTAGTCCCCTGGGTCCTGCTGATGATTTCTCTGCCTGGTCCATCCTACCAGCTGGCGAACAGCAAATGGAGGAAAATATTTCTTTCTGCAGAACATGTGGGAGCTAATGCAGTGTCATCTCTCTCTCTCTCTCTCTCTCTCTCTCTGTTGACACCTTTGTTATGATGGCTAAGCATGGACTCTCTCAAAGGGGAGGAACCAGCAGCAGGGGAGAGGCAAAGCAGGAAGGCTACTGCTTAATGGCAGCGCCAGGCTTCCCTTGGGTGGGACTGAAGGAATCTTCTCCCTCTGTTTCTGAGGTTGGAGCCTGGCCTTATAACAGGCACAAGGCAGCCAAAATAAGCAGCTCTGCTCCCTCTTTCTCCCTGCCACCCCACTCTAGAACACTTTTTGGTCATAACCAACCTGTGACGTGACCTGTCTTGAGTCTCAAGATCCCCTGTTCTCGGTCCAGCTGTAACCTGCTGTATATGCAGGAAGTATTCCAGTTCAGTGGCATGACATCACAGGATGTGGATTGAGCAGCTTTTGGTCTAACCCAGGAGAAGGAACTTCCCTGTGTCCCTACTTAATTAGTCCATGAGGGCTAGATACTTTGTTTTAAAGGAAAAGAACTCCTACTTAAACCTCTAGAGAGGTGCTGCCAGTCAGTGATAATGATCCTGCACTACCTGAGCTGATGGGCAGATTTAATGGGAGGCCACTTGAATATGCTGCTGGAGTTTTAGGCTCAAAACTAAACTAAACATTAGAAGAGTAACTGCACCCTAAATTGTTCCTGTTCCCCTGTGGGCAGCAGCCAGTGTAATGAAGCAAGCTCAGAGGGTGGCACGATGCCATCACAGAGCATCCCTTGCTTCCTCAGATGTAACTGGAGAGCAAAGCATGGGCAACTGGTATGCATTCCTTGCCATGCCGTGCATGAGGTGGTGGGTTTATTAGGAGAAGGTTTTAGAAGTGCTGCACCTCCTACTGGCCAGGTTCTAAACCCCAGAACTGAGCAGCTAGCCTAACGTGACTTTATTTCGGTGGTTCCTGTGGCCCAAGGCTAAGAATAATAATAAAAGTAATAATAATTCCACCTGACATCTCTAAAAATTAATAAATGACATGTGAAATCTTTGCACTCCGTCATCAAAGGCTGATAAAATTGTGTACAGATAGGAGCATGTTCTCTTTCTCTTCCCCTTGCCTGACATGAGAAGTCAGACCCACTCCATAGAACTGCTGGGCAGAAGATCCAAGACCAATTTTAAAAAGCCACTGTTGCTTCCCTCTGGTACAGAATTTACTTAGGGAACTCACCTCCACTTGAAGCAGTAATGGCTACTGGCTACAAGAGGGGGTTAGACAAGTCCATGGAAATGGAAGTGTGTTGCTGTCTGGGCAAGCTGGAGAAATGAAACCTCCATCTCCAAGAGCTGTCTCTCTCTCTCTCTCTCTCTCTCTCTCTCTTAATCTCTCTCTTTGTCCTTTAATTTGGTCCAGTTCCCTTTCTCTTGTTGGTGATCGGAACAGAAACCGGTGCAGTGTGCAGATCCTCCAGCTGCCACAGTATGGCAAAGAGGCCAGGAGTAGAATGTTTTTGCTGCTCAGATTAACCGGGGATGTCAACCTATTTTGAAAAGGCAGCGCAAATGTTTCTATAGATCTATGTACAATTGTGCGGCGGAGCAAAGCCTGAGAGGAACCACAGCAAGGCAAATCCTGTACGAAACTCGTTCTCCCTCATTGTCGGGTCCTATGTATGAAAGGTTCCTGCCCAGTGAACACCTTGCATTTGAACTTCTTATGCATCACTGCAACAGACAGTTCAAAGCATCCTCTGGGCGGCATCTTTCTCATGATAAGCTATGCCAGAACCTTTGTATATGGGGTGGGTGACTATAAGTCCCAGAATTCCCTTGTCATAATTAAAAAAAAAAAAAACAACAGGCTTCTGACACTACCTTGCCAACTGCCAGCTTTTGAGGACCATAGAGGAAGAAACAGAGGCAATGGAAGATGAGAAAGTAAGAGGGCTGCAGTCCCTTCTAAATCTTTGAGCCCTAAATTCAGTTCCTAATCCTGAACAGAACTGACCCACTGAATCAATTTTGATTTACCATTCCACATGGGTCCAATGAGCTTAATCCTGTTTGGGCAAATCATTGGATTTAGGTCAGAAATTCTCAATGCTGAGACAAAATTTAGGAGCAGTAAGGGTATAGAAGGAGATACCGTAAATGAAACACAGTAGAACAATAAAGGCGTTTCCTTTACCCTTCAAAATCGTTTCTCTCGCTGGGCCTGGGTTTAAACAGGCAGCTGCGGTTCATATCAGGTCGTGGCAGTTTGCAGAAAACCAGGGGCGGATAAGGGGAAACCAAGCTTGTTCTCCGATTCCCAGCAACGGATCCCTTCATTGAGTCAAATTAATTGCAGGCAAAGCCCAGCCGGTGTCATGTCAAAAGAAGAAGGAAAAAGCAAGTCCTGTCTTTCCAGAAAGCCATTGGAGAAGGCCCAGGGTTTTTCTTTCCCCTTCATTTCTCCCATTGATTCATCGCCGTCCATCTTTGTCCAGACAGACACTGGCATTGCCGAGTTTCAAAAGCTACCTTTGGCCGTCTGCGTTGTTGCGAAACTGTGTAGCACAGAAGTGTCGAGCGTGGTGGGCGGCCGGGTGCTGCTTGAGTCCTTGTGCCATCAGGGACGGAGCAGAGAAAGTTCAGCAATGGCGGCGACCTTTTGTTCGGGTTAAGCCTGTTCAAAAACCCCAGGACCTGCCTCTGAATTAAACTCCGCTCTGCTCTCCTAGCTCTAAACCTCCAAACCTTTTGCTAGGGACAGAAATTCGAATCTCATCCTTTAGCATGGCCTCCCCCTCACCGCCCCCTTCCACAAATCCATGCGATCCCAGTAAGATAAACAAAATAAGGACTTTTATTTATTTTCTCAGCATCACTGGCAACATTATAGGTTAACAAAAAAATCATTTGTTTACTGTTAGGTGCTTTTTTTAAAAAAAAAAGGAAGGAAAAGAAACAGAATTCCATTTTTAGTCATCCAAAAGTAATTATAGGATAAAATGCAACAAGCTTGTGGTGTAAAACATGCCTAAATAGGACCCCCACAGCCCAAAAAGAATTATAGGAACACCACAAAAGAGCACAGTGAACATTGCGTGCCACAGGAAATGTGAAATGTATTTTAGTGGAGAGGGAGGATTTTTTTTTGGACTACAACTCCCAGTATCCTCTAGGAAGCACGGCCAGCACCTATGCTGACCACGAGAGCCTGGCAGCTGTAAAGGGAAAATGAAAAGCCCAGAAACATTTACCCTTTCTGCAACGTTGCCATTGCAAAGGGGCCATGACTGCAAAGGGCGATGGGTCCGTGGCTTTTCTGGAAGGAGGAAAGCCCCTTCCATGGATTACCATGCAAAAGCTTCTTCCCGTCCAGGTGGACAAGAAGGAAGGTACGAACAGGTCACGTGCCTTGAGAGCCATTAAAAAGGCAAAGCCTCGCCCATGGTGCTCCTAGGACATGATTATTTTTGACAACCTTTGAACTGTAACTGCAATTCAAAGTAATATTGAACATGTTTGAACTCTGGTTAGATTCTCCCCCCCCCCGCCACCGCTAAATTCTGTGTTTTCCCATAACAGGAATGTTCTTATGTATGTATTTTGTCACCAAGAACTGGGGGGAAAAATATGTTGGCTTTAAACTTCCTTATAAAAATATCCACTTTGCACCTCCAGAGACCAGCAACAGGACAACATACCCCTTTCCCTCTGAGGGGGTGTCAATGAAAAAAAGGGGGGGGAATGCATAAAACCATTTGCGTCTTTGAAAAACACGTCTGACTAAAACCGTGTGTTGTTTGAAAGCTATATATGCACAGCAAACCACAGTGAATGCAGGTGAACATGAGATAAATCGGTCCAAAATTGCCTACTCTCTGTCTGGGGAGGAAGGGCACGCACACACACACAAAAAAATCATATTTGTTTTCTGTGTGGGAAGACAAAAAAAAGTCTCATGACGCAGTCTGGAAGTGGGTTGAAGTAAGCATGCAAACAAGTTTCTGAAAATAAGGTTGAAAATAAGGTGGTTTGGTTTTCAGATTCCCCCCCTGGGCTGTGGTCCAAAGAAGTAACTTATGGGAAACTCTGCCCGTCCCTTCCATCTTACGCCTCCTTTCGAAGCCAATTTCAGTTACTAAAAATATTTAGCTCTGGCCCTGCCTCAAAAGCTCTGGGGACCAGCGATAAACAGGTGTAAAGCCACTGAAACAGAATCCCTTTGAATGCTTTTAAAACAGTTTCAAAAGAAAAAGAAAAAAAACTAGATACAGTGCGGGCCAGGAGTCTCTTCCCATCATCATCTCCCAGACAGCCTGGCCAAGGGCGAAGGATGATGGGAGCTGTAGTCCAAAATCCCTGGTCGGAGTATATAGCCCCTTTTCCCCCTAAGGCTAAATTAAGGGAAATTGTGACTTATTGAGGTATTTATAGACTATGAGGTTGACAGCTTGGGAACCCTAATTTGCTTATCAGGAAAATAGGTTTGCAAGGGGAAATTTGCTATTTTTTAAATGGAAAAAATTAGATAAAAGAGGACGGGGGAGGGGAGGGGGCAGGAAATCTCTCAGGCCACAGCCTCCATTTCTCCTCCTTGATCCTGAGAGGGGCAGATGTGTCTGAATATTTGCCTCAGGGAAGGGGGGGAAGAACAAATTTCCCAAACTTTATTAAAACCACCACCATGACCTGCTAATTTCTATGGGAAGGGGAGAATCCAGCCCACCCCAGTGAAAATGGCAGAAACCCACTCCATTTTTCCTCCTTTATTTCCTTGATGGGGCTTCTGAAGGATATTTGTTGAATGGGTTGAGACACGAATTTTGGCAAAAGCCCTTTGAGGTGCTGTTTTTTAAAAAAATAATAATGTAAAATCTCTCCTCGTCAAAAAGGCTCATCCTTTTATGTCTCTGAGGCAGGAGAGGGTCTAAAATTCCCCTCAGAGGGTGGTGGTGGGGAGAAATAATGAATTAATCATTTTGGCTCCTTCATGAAGCGACACATCCCTCCCTTTCCCCTCCCCCATTCTTGAGGGAAAAGGAGAGGAAAATCTAAAATTATTGCCACAGAAAATACATTTTCCCCACAGCTGTTTCTGAAGGGGGCGAAAGTGTCTTATTATACACCCCACAGAAATTTTTACCTCAGATATTACTCATAGGTGGCATTTTAAGGCAGCAGGACAGATCCATATGTGAGGAGGGGGTTATTTTTGCACCTTCAGTTTTGGATTTTGCTTTATTTATAATTTTTTTTGACGGGGGGGATCAAATATGAGTGTCTCCTCCTGAATTTGTATCTTATGGAGGGGAACCCATAAAATTTCATTTATTCTCTGCAAATCCTGAGGTTTCCCTCCAAGAACTGAAGACGACCGCTGGATTTTAGTCAGCAAGCCATGAAGTGCTGGGGGAAAGCCCTTTGGAGGTTGACTGCCACTGAAGATGGAGGCTCCACCAGGGCATCCATGACAACAGTTAGGGAAATATTTAAGGCTCCACGAAAAGAGCACAAGTATTTGCCTCTTCAGGTGCCCTCAGAGGAAAAGACACAGCAAGGTGGAAGACGTATTATTTCCTCTAAAATCCATCAGAAAGAAAACAACTAGAAAAACCCACTTTTGGCAGTGGAGAGCTGTAGGTAGCCAGGTTGGGCAAGTTTAGAATACAGTACATGGACCAGACCTGAGGGAAGTTAGTTGGACTACAAATCCCAGAGTCCCCCCAGTCAGTCAGTGGGGCCACAGGGCGTGTATTTATTGTGTTTATATATGGCCTCTCTTTCAGCGAGCTCCCCTTCCCACTTCATCCTCACACCAACCCTGTGAGGTAGCTCAATCTGAGAGAGTACCACTAGCCCAAGGTCACCCACTGAGTTTCCTTGCTGAGTGGGGGCTTGAACCCGGGTTTCCTGAGCCCTAGTCCAACCGGCACACCACCCTGACTCGATGAATGGGGAAACTACCCATTTTTCTCACACCACACTGTCCCAAGGAAAACAACACTTTTTTTCTCAAACAGGGTGGGGAAAATAGCATGGCAGGCACTAAACAGCGAAAGGTGCCCTGGTGGGAGGCAACAGCAAAAGGAAAATTTATGAAACCATGTTGGGGTGGGGGCGAGGCATATAGAAGCTAAAACCAAAGAACAGCGCTATAAGTAACGAAAGGAGTGCTCTTTCAGGAAATGAACGTGGTTTGTGTGCAAGACGGTGTGTTTTCAAACAATGGGGTGGGGGGAGAAGTGGTTTGCAGACCTTCAAGCGACGAACATGAACACAGTTCTGAAATTAGAAACACCTTTGCCAGAGTTTTCTAGGTAGATCAAGTGCATTTGTTTTGGGTGGAAAACCAGGTAGCTCAAGCAGGCAGGATGCAGGACAAGATTAAGAGCCTCTGATGAAGTCTTCCATCAGCTACAACATTTTGTGAGTGTCATCAGCCTCTCTCCATTCATGGGGGTCCCATCTGCCTGCTTGAGGCTACCACTCCCAGGCTGCCTGCCATCTCTCTCCTCTCTCGTTTGCCAGCCCCCCCCCCTCTGACAGGAGGGCCACGGTGGCCATTCTGGGCCAGCACAGGCCACGCTGATGTGCCCATACCACCACCACTGTAGGTGGGCCATAAAGTGGCACACCAGTTTTAATTCCACAAACATCCCAATCAACGCAATTTCCTGAGATTAAATGTCCAAGAGCTGATCAGTGTAAAGACCAGGCAGTTCTTTCCACACATTACTCTGTTAACATCAAGCTTGTGCAAGCTTGTAAAAAAAGCTATTACTTTTCTTTTTTCTTTTCTTTCTTTCTTTAAGGAGAGAACAGGAGAACCTTTCAGTTTATCGAATGAAAACATTTTGGCAGTAGCTGATTTCTGCTCCGCACAGACCACGGACCTGGAAAGGAACGGGTTCTCAACTGAAGCAAACCTATCGGCACCTCCCGGTGCTTTGCAAGTCAGGAATTATTTCTCACCGCTTCGTATTCTTTTGGCATCCAGGATAACTTTATATTTTGGATGTCGTAGGGGATTCCGATTTTGTAATCCCAACAATACTCGGGGGATAATATTTTGGTTGGTTTGTGGAGGAGGAAGTATTTGTTCAAGTGGCTTTCGTCGTGCCACACGGCCTCCAAACCCCGCTCTTTGTCTTCTTTTATGGTTTCGTAGCATTGCCTGGTGAGGTTCAGGAGGTGCAGCGGGGTTCCCCCAAACACAGCCCCATGGTAGTAATAGTCTCCCTCTCCATAAGGGATGTATGCAGCCGAATCGGGGTTCCTCTCATAAGTGAAAGAATCTCGGTCTGCCTTGTAAAACCAGGCATGGAGCTGAGCCACAGACTCGTCCAGGGTTTCCACCCCATACTCACTATGGAAGAGCTGGTCCACGTCCATGCAGAACAGGAAGTCCACCTCGTGGCGGATGTGGCTCTCAATCAGATCGGCAATCACCTTCATCCGCATCATGCTGATGTCTTGCCACCGGCTCTCCCGTTTGACCTGGAAGGTCTTCAGAGTCCGCAAAGGGCCCAGCTTGAACTGTGGCAATTTCGAGAGGTCATCCACCATGATGTAGAAGATCACGTTGTGGCCGGCCATGAAGTACGTTTCTGCAGACAGTAAGAAGTTCTTCAAGTATTTGTCCAGGTACCTTGAGAAGCAGGGGGTGGTGTGGGAATGGGTGGGAAGAAAAGACATGGGAGCATTTAAACAGCATCTTTCCTACCATATCCTTATTTTTATTTTTGGAGGAACCTAAATTATGCTTTAGCCAGGATCCCTCAGTGCTCACCAATACAATTCTGGATTTCCAACCCACTGCTACTATTTTTACACCAATATTTCTGCTACAAAGAGACTTATGGCATCTTGAAGACTAATGCATTTTACTTGGCAGAAGCTTTTGTGAACTGCAAGCTGCTACAGCTGGTGAAAAGGGGTTGCTATAGTGTGCGAAAGCCTATATCATGTAAAACTTTAAAGTGTCAGAACCAGATTAGGATAACTGACCCCCCCAGGAGTCCCACAGAAATGTATAGACCTCCCAGGCAAAGAGAAGAGAGCCTATGATTTGTCACAGCTGACATTATCCCAGTAAAGGGTGAATACCAGAATGAAATCAGTATTCAGATCTTGCAATTCATCTGAGTAACTCATTATATGTGTCTTCACTGTTGCAATAATTCCAGGCAAGAACCTGTTAATTCTGTACACATTCTATTTATTTACATCATTTCTAGTTTCCATACTTAAAAGCAGCAAGTCCGAAAAAATAATAATAATCAAAGACAGTTGTGAAGGAAAAACTGGAAGCACATATATTTCAATCCAAAAACCATACAGTTACATAAAGACTGTAGGCTTAAAATATTGAAAAATCACAAAAACTGAACTTAAGCTGTGGACAAATACTTAAGTCAAAAGATACATCTGAGTTGTAAGGTTATAGCTATGCAAAATCCAGACAAGAACTTCAGTCATGTTTGACTCAAAATACAAAAGCATTAAAATATAGGAGCCCATAGCTTACAAAAGCAGAGAATACATCTCTATAATATTTCATTTAAAAGTAAAAAACAGTATAACTCCAAAAGCTTTAAAAGCTTTCTTTAAAATACATTAAAGAACATCAGAGTTCTTATAATAAGAAAATACAAAGTGAAAAACAGTATTCAGTGCTAAGCCTATTGTTAACACAGAAAAATATTTCCTCAATAAGCCCTTTGCCTGTTGGAATAAATGGCTATGTTGTTCCCATGGTTATCTCCTGGCTGCTCTCAGACTGTCTGTGTCTTCCACTCCCTTCAGAAAATAAGGCTTCTCAATTTTATAGTTCTGGGAGAGAACTCTGTATTTATACTCTTGTAAAACGTCATTTTTTTTTCAAAACAAACTTTGTCAACCAATAGGAAGCCTACATGTTTAAGGTCAGGAGTAGAGATGGGCATGAATTAAAAAAGGAAACAGTAAATTTGTTCAAAAACCACTAATTTGTTCATTCGTATTAATATGAATCAATGCCCCAATGAATACAAATCAATGCATTTTTAGCAATTTTTGATTTGCTGGGCTATAAAATGCACACACACCCCAGCACCTAGAGACACCAAAATTGCAGAGAAGCTTTCCCTGACTCTCTTCTACAATCCCTCCAAGTTTGGTGAAGATCGAGTTTCCTCAAGCCAGCTTCTAAAGGGCACTTTCCTGGGGGGACCCAGTTTGTGGGTGTATAACTTGGGTGTCCAAAACCCAATCTTCACCAAACTTGGGAGAATTATAGAAGAGAGTTGAGGAAGCTTCCCTATGATTTTGATGACTCTAGGTTCCTGGGGACAATTTTCCTGTGGGGCCCAATGTATGGGTGTATAACATGGATGTCCAAAATCTAAACATCATCAAACTTGGAGGACTTGTTGAGTCAGGGGAAGCTTCCCTGCAACTTCGGTTTCTCTAAGTGCTGGGGGGCATTTTATAGGATTTTAAAGTTTTTTTAAAAATGAATCAACGAATCAATTTGTTAGAAAAAAATCATAAATTTTTTATAGGGTTTTATTTAAAAAATGAATCAACGAATCGGTTTGTTAGAAAAAATCATAAATTCATTGTTCGTGGTTTGTCAGCCTTGATGAATCATGATTCGAAACGAATCACCATTTTTCTGATGTGTGCCTATCTAGTCAGGAGGCTTCTTATCTCAAGCCTCTCTCCTCCCAGTTTCCTGCATCTCAAAAACTAGGCTTGGCAAGGTTTTATTTAAAAAATGAATCAACGAATCGGTTTGTTAGAAAAAATCATAAATTCATTGTTCGTGGTTTGTCAGCCTTGATGAATCATGATTCGAAACGAATCACCATTTTTCTGATGTGTGCCTATCTAGTCAGGAGGCTTCTTATCTCAAGCCTCTCTCCTCCCAGTTTCCTGCATCTCAAAAACTAGGCTTGGCAAGCTCCTGGCTTGGCTTGCTGTTTAAAAGCCCAGTGCCTAGCCTTCAAGGTTGGATTAAAATTCGCCCTCCCTTGGCGGGAAATTCCCCCTCCCTGACATAATACACTGACAATACAATATGTTGGGGACAGTACAATACAATTGCATGTTATTTTCATCAATATAACAGAATATATATAATTCCATACTCTTTTCAAAACTCACTTGCTATTAATAATGAGGCTAAAGCCTTATAAACCAAATGGCACCTTTGTTTTTCTTCTCTACATACTTATCACAAAACAAACTGCTTAAAATAACATTCATTTTTTTCTCCTTTTACACTATCCTGTAAATACTTCTAGAAACAAACTGCTTAAAGTAACATTCATTTTTTTTTCTCCTTTTACACTATCCTGTAAATACTTCTATTATAGAATATGTGGCTATTTTCATTTGTTTAATACAGGTTTACACAACCAATTTGCAGTATTTCTTTGTTAATTAATATGAATGGTAAACACTGCTCAAGCGGCAATTAAAATTACTTTTTCTTTTTCTTTCTCTTCTGTTACTGTCTTTGTTCATATAACGTATTCCATCGTTTACTTTTTTCGCTGTGAAAACTGGCATGAAACTCAAGGAATTGCTACTTTGTTATCTTATCAGTTACTTTGTATACCAAAACAACTGGCTGTTTTGATTTCGTAAGGTGTTTTGGTTTTGTAATGTAAATTATCTTCACAGATCACTTTCCAATTGTACTTTCACTTTTAATACATCTCTCTCTAAGGCATACTTTAAAAGGCCATTTTCATTTTTAGGGCAGCACTATTTTTAAGAAAACTCTAACAAGATTTTAAGGCATCACAAGAGTTTCTGGCATGTCGCACTGAAGAATAGTCATGCTTGCTCATTGGATTAAAAAATAAGTCAAGAGTGAGGACTCCCATGGGAATCCTTATGCAGGATCTGCCCCGGTATCCTTGCTGTAACTGCTACAGAGAGAAAGACCTAAGAATTAGTTTCCCCACTAACAAAGGTTGATAAGGCAAAGCCAGTACTGTGACTCATGCAGAGAGGCAGTGGGCAAATTCTGACATTATTCTGTTGCAGCAGAAAGACTGATATATGGATCTGCCTGCTTCCTATGGAGAAAGAGAGAGGAAGAAGAGGCAGGCTGGCTGGTCGGCACCAAGCAGGTGAAGAGCAGAAGATTATTCAGAGACACATCATGAAGGTGACCCCCCCTCAAGAGTCGGCAGATATCTGGAGCCACCAAGGTAAGTGCCTGAGCGCAAACGGTACCATAGTAGTCTTGTCTCAGCTAGAAGAGACCCACAGAATCAATGAAATTTGTGTTTGTCTTGACTCACTGTTCACCAATGGAGTAAATAGACCTGATTTAGGTGGAACTAGCAGTAAGGCCTATGGCTCTGTTCCACCAGATCCTTATGGGGGAGTAAGCCCTGCAGAACAGAGGGGAACTTGCTCATGAAAAGAAGGTATACTGGACTGGGCTGTTCGGCGGCACTTACTTCCCAATGGCAAAAACTGTCAAACCGACGGTGATTCGGCGCTGCTTATAGTGGAAATCCAACACCGATTTCTTGAAAGTTCCCTCCCAGATGATGGGAGCCGACCAAGACGTCAGGGTTGGGTAGTCCGTTCGCCCACTGCAACGAAACAGAGAAAAGCTTGGTGTGCAACACGGTAAAAATCCAGCCAAAGGCCTACTCTAAGCATAGGACGTGTTCACCTTCTCTCTTGCCTGAACATCAATAAAATCATAAGAATCCTCATTTTTCCAGAGGAAGGGGTTGTTGTATTCACTTGTCCCAACAGAAATGACAAAAGGACTGGGGCTGCCTTGAAGACTAAAAACAAGAATAACCGTTTGCAGGCTCATTTCAATCAGATAGTCTTCGTTGTCATTCTGATTTGTGTCTCACAGTTTTCAGCCTATTCTCAAGACAGTTTAGCAAGGAGAAAAACTATACTATTTACTACAATCATATGTAGAAGAAGATTTAAAAAGCCCACCCATACATCCAAGAGCATTAAACAGGTCTAAACAATAGAACAGTCTATTTAAAAGATGGTTCCTTATGCCAAAAGGATATCAGCACAGGAAGGAGTCAAAGATACCTGGGGAGGACCTTCCAGAGGCAGAGAGAGACATCCAGTCCAGAGGTTGGACTGGAGAGAAATCCAGGTTCAATTTTCCATTTAGTTGCTACTCCAGCCTACTTCAGAGATAAAAGGGGCTTATCAGGGACAGGAAGGGATGGGAAACGCCATTTCACAAACCCAAAAGCTAAGATGTAAGCAGCAGCCGAACAGAGTCCAGATCCATCAACCTTATAAATAATCCAATAAATATCTTTAAATAAACTAACAAAACTAACATTACTTTTTGGCACTTTTTAACACATTTAACATGAGGTTAATGCTGGAAATAATGCAGAAGGGGCACTGGTGCCAAATACTGTAAAACTTTGTTAGTTTGAAACCCGTTGCAAGGTTACTGTGTTGTTTTTCTGCTGCAACAGATTAGAAATGGCTCCTTTCTGGTATAAATCGAGGATAGTATTCCTTCTCCTAAACTTGCATTTTTCCCCTGTGCCCAGCAGATGGCAACCAGCGGAGCTTACATTTGAGCCAGCCTGGCCAGGACCTGTTTTTAAAAGGTTACATTCTTAGGCTTTAAGGCAGCTGCTGCGCCCTGGTTTAAGAGGCAGAGGTTGGGAGTTCCATTCCCCACGGAGCTTCCTGTGAGAAGAGCCAGCTTTAGCGTCCTTGGACAAGCTGCACAGTTCCAGGGCTCCCTCAGAAGAAGGGAATGACGAATGGCGTCTGTATTCTCTATCTAGGAAAGCCTGGAAAGGGTCATTATAAGTCAGGATTCACTTGATAGCACATGGTTATTGTTAATATTTGCCCAGCATGGCTGGGGATGATGGCAATTGTCACCCAGCAGCGTCGGAAGGGCCCCAGGGTTGGGCAAAGATGTAAGCTATTACAACACACCTGGTTCTCATGACTTTCCTAACCACAAAATCACTGTTGGTTTCTTACTGCCTCACAGCTCCTGTGCCATAAGCACAACCGCGTGACCCATCTAGCAAGAGACTGGCTTCATGGTCAGCCTTCCCTCCTAGCTCGACCAGAGCATTGAAACATTGCTCTTTATTTGGATGTCACTTCCCAAAATCCCCCAACAGTTGTAGTCCCCCCCTCCAAAAAAAGAGTAAAAATTCCTGGTGCTATACTTTACAACTCTTGGTCCCCTTTGCAAGGCGTTGGCACCAAGCCTGCATTGTCAAGGCTACCACGCATACCAGGTAAAATAATGTCTTTGCTATCAGCAGGAAAAGAGAGATAGTTTTTCATTAGAGTCCCTTATCTACATGTTTGAACCATTAGTGTATAGAAGAGGGTTGGTCAAGTTCGTTACTTGTGCTTAATTATGACTCATATCCCCAGGCTTTGGAAAAGGTGCTGCTGCTTTGGGTTGTATCTATTACTTTTAAAGAAAAGGCTTACGGATATCTTCCGGGTATGACCATATTCACAACAATACTTTTATTTAGTGGGCCCAAGCTGCTTTCATTTCTTTTGAAACAACATGTCATGTTTGCAACAACCAGTACTGTGGGAAAGTTTCACAGGTAGTTTGATCAGAAGATCTGCTTTGAGACTTCCTGTAAACATTGAGGGTTATATTTGGTTTGTCTCCTGAGATGATGTGAACCGGGTGATAACACCACATGTTTACCAGTTCTGTGGAGTTTCAAGTTTCTTTCTTTCTTGAACTCCAGAGAAGTCCAGGTGGAGAAAGAAAAGAAAAAAGAAAAACAGGGAGTTGGAAAGAAAGTTTTTAAAAAATTCCCTCACCCCTCGCTCCTCACAAAGCATCACTCTGAGTATTTAAGGAGTGGCTGGAATTTAAGGATGCTCAGGGGCCAAAAGATGTGGCTACTTGGCCCGTGTGTGATGAAATCATTGTTGGAAATAAAGTGCAGCCATGCACGCCGGCACAAGGAATGACATGCCTGAAGGAGCAGCAATGAGAGAGAATGCATGAGCAAGTTGTGTGGATTCTTGCCTACGGATACATCGGATACATCGTCAGGCTTCTTGATCTAAACTGATGTTCCCAGAATGACTTTCCTTCCTCTTTTTCTTTCAGGATCAAACCACAGATTATGCTTAACATTTACTTAGAATCGGTGCTCCCCTGAAACAGTGTCTTAGTTTGCACTTAGCAGTGCTTTGTTTTCTGGTTAGTCATTGGAAGTTAAGCATGAACTTATTTTGCAAGCCTGATGGCTGAGGCTAGCATCTTTGAAAAAACCTTGTTGTAAGGCACATAGGCTAACTGCAGAGTATACAAAAATCCTCTTATGATCTAGTTTGACCCTAGGTCTCAACTTTTTCTCTCTTTCTTTCCGCTTCCCTTCCAAGGGATGTAGCTAACAGTATCATCCCCGCCATATCTTTCAATCTCAAGATGTACCGTATTTTTCGCACCATAAGACACACTTTTCCCCCACAAAACAGGGGGATGGAAAGTCTGTGCGTCTTATGGAGCGAAGAAAACAGATTATATTTTCCTGTTTTCTTCTCCTAAAAAATTGGTGTGTCTTATGGAAACACATTATGGAGCGAAAAGTAATTCCTATCATAAACATCTTTCCTTTTGCTAGTTTGAATGGTCTTTCCAACTTATTCCAAGCATCAGGTCCCTCAAATGTCCCATAGTAAATGCCCATAAATATCAGCCTTTCTTTGCCAACAGTCAAGATGCACTCCTCGAGAGAGGGTGTATATGTGTCCAGTTAGGCACGGGCAGAGGCTCTTTTTCTGAATTGAAGCCTTGGGCACAGCAGTCCAAAATCATGTTAAAACATTTATTTGGTGAGGAGCAGGAAACACAAAACTTCTGTCATACATTATTCTAAGTGGAACCAGATGTTCCGAAAACATCCTCCATTAAAAACATTTTTTTCCGGCTACCCTTGCCTGCATTTAATTTTAGCAAGCTATTTAGAGCCCCCTCGTCTTCCAGTAGAAGTTAGATCTTCCATAGACACAAACACACACACACACACACACACACACACACACACACACAGGGAATATAAATACTTCAGAACTGGGCTCCAAAACCAGCTCGTCCAAGCGCCGTGCCTCCTACTTTCCTCTCAGCTCTGTAAGGACAAGAATGGGCACCTGTTCCTGGCACAGAATGACACCAGATGCTCTTTGCATATAATTTTGAATGTATTATTTATTTAATGGGGGATTTTGTGCTGCTCTTAATCTTATCATACAAGGGCAGTATACAAAATGGAAAAAAATAAAAATCATCATCATCATCATGTGCTGTCAAGTCATTTCTGACCTGTGGCGACCCTTTCCAGGGTTTTCCAAGCAGATAAAAAAATAAAATAAACAATTCCACTTATGATAGGCAGTTAAAACACGGAAACTGGGTTTATTGTAGCAAAACCAGAAAAGATTCTTTGGCGAATGAAATGGAAAAGTCAGAGTAGCCCCTGAATCGCTGACAGCTCTTAGACCTCCATGTTTAGAGGCAGTATATACTCTTGAGCAGTCGGGACAAGGATAACAGAGCACTGTTTAAGAAGTCTGAAGTCTTCTCCGGAGTATCTGGCTGGCCCTGTTTGGACAGATAATTGTGCACTGGCTGGACTAAAAGAACATTCCATCTGATGCAGCCAATTCTTTCTGATGTTCTTAATAAACTGAACAAACCGCATTAATAATGAAAAACCCAACCTCACATTTATTTATTTATTTATTTTCATTAGCCTGGAACTTCCTCTTGCATGAATAATGCAACGTGCAAACTGTATGAACCATTTGTAGGAAGTTCTTCTTCTAAAGCAATAGGCTGGGCAAGAATTCGGGATGTTGCATCCTGAATATACCACTATAAACTGTCTAGGGAGTTGCAAGACATGATGACGTGACTTTTTACCTCTCATGCTATGTGCTCCAGGGACTTTTTCGTGAGAGAGGATTTCTCAATACAGGATTGCTAGCGCTCTAGTTGGACTTCCTCAAGCTTGCACCCAACACCCAACATAAAAGGGGTAGTCATGGGGAAGTCTTCAGTTCATGGTTTGTAGACTGGAACTAGGAGTATGGGAAGAAGATAAAAAACTAGCTTGTCATGAATGACTAACTCTTCAGACTTTTCTCAGGCAAATAGACGTTGTACATCTAGGTGCCTAGCTCCCAAAATACCACTCACTCTGTAATCCCCATTTGGCACAAAGTTTTAAGATGCACAAGTGAAAAATACTTAACACAGCCTCAGGGGAAAGTTGGGCGGGGCCTGTGTGAATTTGAAAATGTCTTCTTATTTGGAATGAATGGATGGATGGATAGATGAGAAATTTACTTTGGTCATCACAGACCTTTAAATGGTAGATATGATATGCAAAGTCATAATCTGAACAAATCTGACTAAACAATATGAAACAAAGCAGGACACACCATGGTAACCCAAAGTAAGTTCTTAACCATTATTTTGAAAAAATAAATAAGGTTGCACCAAGGATGGAAAGGACTTGAGCTGTTTTGTTTTTTTAAGATGCAAGTTGGAGAAACTGACAGATTTGTAACTAGAAGCCCATGGTTCAGCTCCTGAGAGACTGATTTTTTAAATGTGAGAGAGTGAAGACTTTTTAACACTTACAACAGTAAACTAAGTTTGGTGGTGGAAGCTCAGAACTCTACTGTAGCTGTTTCCTCCTTAAAAGTAACTTTCTGCAGTTTTTTGGGGTGGGGTGGGGTTTGTTTTTGCAACACCACATTTTAGTGGACAGGTCTGTTAACAGCTGATAGAGACAACCATAATTTAGGAATGAAACCTGCAGGGTAGAGGGCAGTCTACTCTACCTATGAGCTTGCAACTGCCTGAACCTATACTTGGCCACTGGGAGAGTGGCCTTCCTCTCCAGAGCTGCATACTGTAGTGGATTACTTTCAGTCTGTAAATGGCTTTCGCTGCATGATTTCCAAAAGGGGTGGGGGTGGGGGCAGAAGTAGGGCAATTTCAGGTGTTGGTCTGGACTGTGGAAGATTCGAAGAACTAGAGATGGTCTTGTCACCACATTCTCCTTTGTTTCCAATTCTTAAACACATAGAGAGGGTCATCTCTCAGGGCTGCTTCAGCTACACATTTCCTGCATCAGCAAGGGCCAGACTAAATGACCTTTGGGGGGGGACCCACATGACCATACAGTTCTAAGTTTCTGTGACTCCTTCTCTTTAACTATACCACTAGATTTCAAAGGGAGTTAATAGAATTGAATGGTCTCCTTCTGAACATGCAGCTGAGGTTCATGATTTTGCATTGAAGGTGCTTTCTCTC